CAATCCCGCTGGCCGGGATCCACTGGGAAAGCCTGGAGGCAGGGGGGGGGCTGCATGGGGCGCTCTGGGCAGTGCCACCCCGGCCGGGCTATAAATGCCCATCGCGCTCCGGCTGCAGCACCCCGGTTCCTCACCACTGCCCGACCTGCACCCGCTCCGACCCCGGTGAGTCTCCGCTCCCCCTCCTTGCGTGTCACTCCTCATGCAGCTCTGCTCTCCAGCTGCAACTCACCCCGAAACGCCTCCCCGAGAAGCACCGGGGTCTCCGCCACCCCTCCAGAGGTCCTCTGCAGCACCCCACCAGGTCCTCCGCAGCATAGTGGACCGATTTGGGCAGGGTGGTGGGGAGGGATCCTCATTGCCTGGATGGACCCCGTTGCCTGTCCTGACCCCATCCCTGGTGCTCTGCCCTCCAGGCGTGCAGAAAGCTGGCGATGGCGTGTCCCCTGGAGCAGGCGCTGGCCGTGATGGTCACCACCTTCCACAAGTACTCGGGGAAGGAAGGGGACAAGTACAAGCTCAGCAAGGCGGAGCTCAAGGAGCTGCTGAACAAGGAGCTGCCCATCTTCGGGAGCGTGAGTGGCTGTGGGGGGCACATCCCTCGGAGGCGGTGGCGTGGGGGCAGGAGCAAACCAGCCTGGGGTCTTTCAACGTAGCAGGGTGAAAACTGGGGTGGTCTCTGAATTTCCCCAAAGTTGGGCGATACGACGCGCTGAGACCTCGTTCTCTAGGGGGAGAAGGAAGGACGAGGCCAGGAGGACCTGAGCCGGAGTGTGCGCAGACCGAGAGGAAACTTGGCTGCCTTATACCCACAGAAATATCCTGATTGGCAAAAAAAAAAAAATAAAAGCATGCTCCGATTTCTTTTTTTTTTTTTTTCCCCCTCCTTTTTTTTTTAACCCTCACTTCCCCTTCTGGCTTGTGGTTTAAACTTGGGGTGGGGGAGGAGAAATTTTTTTAGCCAAACTCCTTCATGACCGAGAGGTGTATTTGCTGTCGCCGTGCCAGCACGCCCCAGCCCACAGGTATGCCACTTGCATTGCTAAAGGCCACCTCCTTCCAAAGGCGAGGAGAAAACCCTCCTTCAAGGTAGAGGGAGGGCAGCCCAGGCTTTTTACACCCTTCCTTGTGTGCAGCAGGGCTGGATGGAGAAGCACCTCGCTCCTCCGTGCGCCCCCAAAACCCCTTACCCCCACCGCCCTCTTCCCCCCTCGCAGAAGCAAATGGATGAGGGGGAGTTCAAGAGGCTCATGAACGACCTGGACCACAACAAGGACAGCGAGGTGGACTTCAAGGAGTACGCCTGCTTCCTGGCCTGCATCACCATGGGCTTCAACGAGTTCTTCAAGGATGGCCCCACCAAGCAGCCCCGCAAGAAGTGACCCCCCCACCACCACCCGCAACATCGCCACCGGGCGTTCAATAAAAGCTTTTTCCAAAGCCTCGGTGTGCATCAGCAGGTTTTTGTGTGCCGTAGGTTAGCGGGCAGCCGGGTGACTCACGCTTTCCTCCCGCTCCGTGGGATTTTCCACGGCGCGACTCAGCCCCGGGAGGCATTTTTTATTTTTTTTTTTTTTTAATTATTATTTTTTAAAAGCCTGAGCTAAACAGCTCAGCGCCGCCTCCGAGCAACACACTGGGACATCCCCCATCCTTGCTGGCTGGGGGAAGAGATTCAGTGCATATTTAGCTCAAAACATATGAGTTTTCCTGAACAAACAAGCTGCCCTGGGCAACGTGTTGGGTTTGGGGAGGGAAAACTGGTCTGGAGGAACCGGGCATCCAGATGCAAGGTCAAAATCCAGAGCGTGACCCAAGTCCCCACAGAGAAGAGCTGTTTCTGAGCAGCTGGAGGAGACCCTTACCCCCCTTGGGATGCAGATGAGCCCGTGCTGGGGTACCCCATTGGAGAAGGTCCTGGGTCTACCATGGCACCATGGGGCTGCAGCCAAAGCATTTTCCTGAGCACATCAGCTTGTGATACCGGCTGGGAAATACGGGGCTCACCACCCCCCTTCCACCTCCCCATAGCCACAGCAGTTCCCGGCAGGTCTGGGCTCGTTCGCAGAATGTGCTACAGCTGCTCCCCAGCTTTTCCCAACGGCCACAAACCCCAGAGAAACCACCCCCAGATTCAAAAAGTCCTTACAAAGCCTCTGCATCATAGTGGGGTGGGGCAGAGCCTGTCCCCAAGACCCCCTCCCTACCCCCAGTCCTTCCAGCATCTCCAAATTTTGCTCTGCCCCTTCCCAGACTCTTTATAAAGTGTCCCCCCAGGAGCTTCTGCCCCCTCCCAGTAATTTACACCAGTTTGCACTTGTTAACAGGGAGATGAGGTTCAGGTGTGGGGGCGTTTTTTTTTCCAAAACGGTCTTTTGAGAACCCCCGTGACCTGGGGAGATGCCGTGCGGTGTTTGGTGGGGTTTTGCATCCCGCTGGGCATCGGGGTACCCCGGAGCTGGCAGCGGGGTGTCATCCCCTGTTTGTTCTCACTCTGGTCCCCGCGGCAGCGGGTGCCGTTGTCCCGAGGGGACTCAGCCGGGCTCGGGGATGCTCGGGGTGTTTGTCAGCCCACGGACCCCCACAGGAGGGGGTTGCAAACTGCCGGCTCCAGGCTTTCCCCTGCAGCTCCCTGACACGTGCTCGGGACACGCAGACACCAAAATAGTGCTCTCCGTTACACAACGGGGCATTGTGACGCACTGCCCTGGCAGTTAGCAAACAGAAATTGCTTGGAGTCGAGTTAAAAACAGAAAAAAAAAAAACCCAACAAAAACCCCAAAAAACCCTCAGCCAAAGCTCAGCATGACAACAAAGCGATGGACAAACCCCCGCCCAGACGTTCCCCCCGGGAATGCTGCCAAAACCCCCGTGGCGCTGCATCTCGCCCCACGCTGGCTAAGCCTGGGAATTATGTTTATCAGAAAGCAGGGATCTGGTTTTCCTCAGCACTGCAATACAAGCCTACTGGTTTAAAATTCCATCTCTCATACAAGCACCAATAAATAAGACCAAGCTCTTGCCAAAACACAGAGAGAGAGAACCACTTCCTACAGGACTGGCAAAGTCTATGAAATGCAGATCTGTAAGTAAATCATCTCAATGCAGTCACAGGCCTGCACCCAGCAGAATAATTCAATACAAATTCTTCAGTGATTTATTCACCATGAGCAAAAACCCTCTGCTTTGCAATAAACACAGGCTGGAGCACTCATGTAAGCCCTGTGATGAGAAGTTCCAGGGGTGGAGGGGAAAGTCCCTCCAACTGCAGATGAAAAGTGTTGTCCTAGCATCAAGCGCTAACATTCAGTCCATTTAATGGACATATGACATGATACAAAAGCTCATTCATAAATAAACTGGGGTCGTGACGGGTAACAAGATCACAGACACTGGAATGGGGAAAGAATTATAATGATGGAGAAAGCATTCCTTTCTCAACAGCTAGGACTCTGCTCCAGGGTCCCACCTGCTTCTGGCTCCCTCCATGAAACTCTCTGCTGTTAAAACTGGCACAAAGGACAACATCAAGGCTGAGTGGATGCTGGCATAGCACTTCCTGCTCTACCTAGTGCTTTAATGACGACGAACTGTAAGCTGAACGTACCCCATGTTGGGACTGAATCTTTGTTGAAGAATTTCTTGGAACTATAAAAAGATGTTGTACTCAAAGTGCAAAAGGGTCATAGCAAGAAGATACGCTCAGATTATTGCCTCAGGCGCATTCTCAGCAGAGGTTTGGAAAGGAGCTAGATGGACTACTGCCAAAGTTACTAGTAGAGCTGATGGGCATTTTTCTACTTAATGCTCTGTTTGTTTGATTACAACACTTTCCCAGGCTTAAAACTGTTTTTTTTTCCTAAGCACAACACTCTAAACACACTGATCACCAATACACAAAAAGAAAGTAAGTTCTCTCCTCCCTCAACAGGAATTGGAACACCGAAAACTGAGGAGCACCCCACTCGCACACAGTGAAGAAAAGGGACTACCAAGAAACAAATTAATGGGTAAACCTGAAACATGCTCGGTTTCCACTGAAAAGGCATTTCTGTTAAGTAAGGAATCAAACTGTCAGGTAGAGAAAAGCTCTTGATTGTAATAGTGTACAGACCCCGTGCTGTAAGTGATATCTTACTCAGAAGGTAGACAAACACACTGGGACATCCCCCATCCTTGCTGGCTGGGGGAAGAGATTCAGTGCATATTTAGCTCAAAACATATGAGTTTTCCTGAACAAACAAGCTGCCCTGGGCAACGTGTTGGGTTTGGGGAGGGAAAACTGGTCTGGAGGAACCGGGCATCCAGATGCAAGGTCAAAATCCAGAGCGTGACCCAAGTCCCCGCAGAGAAGAGCTGTTTCTGAGCAGCTGGAGGAGACCCTTACCCCCCTTGGGATGCAGATGAGCCCGTGCTGGGGTACCCCATTGGAGAAGGTCCTGGGTCTACCATGGCACCATGGGGCTGCAGCCAAAGCATTTTCCTGAGCACATCAGCTTGTGATACCGGCTGGGAAATACGGGGCTCACCACCCCCCTTCCACCTCCCCATAGCCACAGCAGTTCCCGGCAGGTCTGGGCTCGTTCGCAGAATGTGCTACAGCTGCTCCCCAGCTTTTCCCAACGGCCACAAACCCCAGAGAAACCACCCCCAGATTCAAAAAGTCCTTACAAAGCCTCTGCATCATAGTGGGGCGGGGCAGAGCCTGTCCCCAAGACCCCCTCCCTACTCCCAGTCCTTCCAGCATCTCCAAATTTTGCTCTGCCCCTTCCCAGACTCTTTATAAAGTGTCCCCCCAGGAGCTTCTGCCCCCTCCCAGTAATTTACACCAGTTTGCACTTGTTAACAGGGAGATGAGGTTCAGGTGTGGGGGCGTTTTTTTTTCCAAAACGGTCTTTTGAGAACCCCCGTGACCTGGGGAGATGCCGTGCGGTGTTTGGTGGGGTTTTGCATCCCGCTGGGCATCGGGGTACCCCGGAGCTGGCAGCGGGGTGTCATCCCCTGTTTTTTCTCACTCTGGTCCCCGCGGCAGCGGGTGCCATTGTCCCGAGGGGGCTCAGCCGGGCTCGGGGATGCTCGGGGTGTTTGTCAGCCCACGGACCCCCACAGGAGGGGGTTGCAAACTGCCGGCTCCAGGCTTTCCCCTGCAGCTCCCTGACACGTGCTCGGGACACGCAGACACCAAAATAGTGCTCTCCGTTACACAACGGGGCATTGTGACGCACTGCCCTGGCAGTTAGCAAACAGAAATTGCTTGGAGTCGAGTTAAAAACAGAAAAAAAAAAAACCCAACAAAAACCCCAAAAAACCCTCAGCCAAAGCTCAGCATGACAACAAAGCGATGGACAAACCCCCGCCCAGACGTTCCCCCCGGGAATGCTGCCAAAACCCCCGTGGCGCTGCATCTCGCCCCACGCTGGCTAAGCCTGGGAATTATGTTTATCAGAAAGCAGGGATCTGCGCCCCCCCCCGCCGCTCCCCTTCCTTCACCCCTTCTCCACGGGGGTTCTCCTCCACCGGGTTCTCCCCCACCAGGTTCTCCCCATCCAGCCCTGGGGGGGAAGTGAGGCAGGAAACACCATATTTTGCTCTTTCTAACCCAAACCAGCCCCCTTGGCAGCGCAGGAGAAGGATGGGGGGGGCTGGGGCTGCTCCTGAGGTTTTTTTTCTCTTCCTTTGCCAACCAATGTCCCGGAGAAGCGCCGGATCAGCATTGGTGCCTTCCCGTTGGGGGAGCGAGGGAGGTGTCCCAGGCGGGGCTATAAATGCCTGGGCCTGACGCCGGCTCGCCTCCTGCCTTCCCCAGTCCTCCACTGGTTCATTTGAGCTGTCGGTGAGTTGTTTTTGGTTTTTTGTTGTTTTTTTTTTTTTTTCCCCCCCTTCCAATCGCCTCACCCCGTTCCCCCCTCGCCCTGCCAGCCCTCCAGATGCCCTCCAGATGTTGACCCATCCCACAGCAGGGTCCCCCCTATAGGGTTTTTCCCCTGGGGCTGAGCACGAGGGTCCCACCATAGTGAGATGAGCTCAAAAGTGGCATTTCAACTTTAGCAGGGGTGGGGGGGCTGGAAAAACATGGGTGCCCTTTCCCTGCCCAGCTTGTGCTGGAGGGGGCTGCCACCTCCCCCCTTCCATGTTGTCCCCTCTGGCATGGCTTTTTTGGAGGTTGCTCAGCCCGGCTGCTAATGGGAGGGTGAAATTAGGGAGGAAAGGGTGATGCATCCTGGTGTGTGCTCAGGAGCGGGCCACCGGGGCAACCTGGTGGGCTGGGGGGCACCGTTGTCCCCCTGGTGTGGGGGTGTCTGTGGACACCGAACTCTTGCTGTCATCTGCTTGTGCCTCCAGGCTTGTTGGCATCCCCCATGGCGTGTCCCCTGGAGCAGGC